GGGGGGTGCAACGAACCTTGGCATCTGGTTGATTTATACGAGCTATGAAGGTTAATATTATGGATCATCGGGTGTGATGAACTATGACTTCGCGTCGAGTGGGGGAGTCCACTATCAATGGATGGATTGCGGGGTCATGTGTTATATCAGTTTTGGCCTGAAATATATATATATATGTGGTACTGAAAGATTCCCAAAAAAAATAAAAAAATAACACATGTTTAAGGCTAGAGATTTTGTAGAGGATAAGGTTGGGACTTGCGGTATGTCCGCCTACTTAATAATCATATACTTCAGTACCCAAGGAGTTAGAGAAACAACTTTAAATTTACAGAAGGTCTACTCAGCGTGGACGCCATGGTTGCGAATTTTGGGGTGCTTTGGAGGAAGTACAATGGTTGAAGAGATTCTGGACAATGTGGTTCATGCCAAGATTTGTCTGTATGGAGCTCTACTTTTGTGATCGGTTTGTATAAATAGGGGTAAGGGTTACCTCTGAGAAGAATCGAAGAGTATGTTAAGAAATGGGTCAGCTCAACAGTGTTAAATCAGCATAACAAAAGAAGAAATTGACCTTGGGAGAGATAATTCTGCACAGGTGTCCGTGGCAAGCCTATGAAGAGGGCAAACCAACTAATGCAACACCGCCCACTTGGCTCAGTTCTTAGAAACGCTTTTGAAAAAGTTTGTTCCCGGACTCTCCGTAAGGCGTGGCGCATAGTGTTTGAATGGTTGAGTCAGGTCACCATAACGGTGTCATAATATGCCATCAGGTTCAATAAGTTAGCCCGTCATATTCCTACTTTGCTTCCTACAACCAGAGAGCGAGTCCACAGACTCATTGAAGGACCCAATTATAATCGTAAAAGTTTGTACGACTCGGGAGCTACAGGCTAATACTTCAATTATAATCGTAAAAGTTTGTACGACTCGGGAGCTACAGGCTAATACTTCAATTATAATCGTAAAATTGCCAAGATAAGGAGACCAAGACTTCTCAACGTTCTGGGGGATTTAGTGGATTCTACTCTGTAGGTAAAAATCATTATGGCAAGGGCTCAAGCAGTCGGCCAGCCTAGTCCGCACATCGGATTACCTGGGGTGCTCTAGTAAGTTCTTTTAATGCACCACCGACATGAGTTCTTACAAATGGTTATTCCAGTTATCTAGCACAGACTCAATATGAGCAGCCAAACCCGCAAAAGGGGTTGTTATGAATACGACGATACCAGGCACATCATGAGAAAATTGTCCCAAACTTGGGAGAGAGATATTTCATCAAAGCACTCAGGCTACGTGACCCATTGGAATTACTACACCACCCACACGACCAGTTAAGGGTAGAGGACAGGCGGGTAGAAGGCGTCATAGAGGTGGAGACCCAGCCGTTGCTATATTTGTTTTATGGTATGGCGAAGGTCGCTACATCATATGGTGTCGTTACAGGTACGACTTCAATTTAATATAAAGGAATAATTTCCTTAACTTGATTCGGTTCTGAGTATCGAAATGAGTCCTCCTATTGTGCTCCACTTATGAGTGAGCTTCGTGATTCTATAATCTACTTATGTGTTTACTCCTGTTGGGAGGTTCTATGGAGATAACTACGCCTATCATTCCATGTTGGTCACTAATAAGAGCTGTGAGGCTAAAGGTGGCTTTCTGTTACACATTTCGGTAAGTTTTGATGTAATTTTCGGATAATTAATTACAAATTGTGAATTATATGCCCTATCGGTATGGGGTTCATTATGCGTTGTGATTTGGTGTAACTGAAATTTTTTTTTAAAGAAGAAAATGGAAATTTTTGATTGGCACGATGTGCATATTACTTGTGATTCGGAACTGAAGGCGAGATCCTCACACTTTAATATAAATTGATATGTTTAAACCGGGCTAAGAGCTGCGGTGGAAGTTATATAAGGATGAGATCCTTGTGAGCAAAATTCTTGTGTTTAAGTTCTCCCTTGTGAAATTAAAGTTGTACTATAGCAATAATAGGGAGTCATGCCTGTTAGGCCTAA